AGACCATGGTCCACATTGCAATGTGAACTATGGATAAAGGAAAATACTATGTGTACCTCCATTTTTTACTCCCACACACAAAATATAATCTTGAGATAGACATTTGTATTGGGACCCACATGAAAAAAAGTAGCTTATCAAAGTGCGCCACATCAGGGAGTAAGATTTGAGAGTCTATGTACTATAACTCATGGGTAAATTCTTCATTTTAGTATGTTGAATGTTTATTTAAAAAAAAAAAAAAATGCTACATGTACTCCCATTTTGTAATCTCAACTTGTACTCCCACACAAAAAAACATTGATGTAGACACTTGTATTGAGATCCGCATGAAAAAATAATAACTTATCAGAATTCGCCACATCAGGGAGTAAAATTTAGGGAGTATGATTAGGAAGTACATGTAATAGAACACTTATTTTTAATGTATTGAAAATTTATTTTTTAAGTATACCTAAAAATAAACTTTCAGTACACAAGAAATGAACTTTCAGAAAATGAACATCGAAAATATTAAATATGGACCTTTAATATACCAATAATGAACCTTATTTCAATGGTCCATTTTATAAGGTAGACCATGATCCAGGGCAAATTATATTGTGTGCCCTGGTAAAAAACGGCGTCGTTTTTTACATTTAAAAAAAAAAAAAAAAAAAGAAATTCCGTTTCTCGCGTCTGCTGTTAACTTTTTTAAAAAAAAAATCTCATGTTTCGAATGTACATAATTGTATATCATAATACACATCATCTTTTTTAAAAGGATAATACACATAATCTAACATAATACATAATACACATAAACTCTTAACATAATACACATAAATTCTTAATTCTTTTAAAAAAGTCCCCCGTTTCGAATGTACATAATTGTATAATAGAATGTACATAATTGTATAACAAACTATATACATAAACTTCGTCGCGTCAACTTTCCATACAACTTAACAAAACAGCGTCGTTTTAGACAAGACGAGACGCACAATGTATTGTGCACCTTGGTGCACGATATAACGATTGATGATCCATGATATAATGATTCAAGCCACTGCCAGCAACTTATACTCAGTTAAACACATGAGACAACAAGTGCAAATAGAACACAAGTAGACAATTGGAAATTATTACAATCACATGCAAAGAAAAAAAAAAAGTTTCAAATTTGCAATAACAATATCCAACAAGTGAATAGGCAACACAAATTTTGTGTTGATTTATCCTATATGATTATATCTATTAATTTCATATTTGGTGCAATTCTGATCAAATAAATGGAAATATATTAATAATCAAGTAGGACTAATTAATCAAGGGAAAATTGTAAAAAAATACCCCTCTATAATATGCCAATTATCAAGTCACCCCTGAATTATAAGTGGTGTAAATGTTGCCCCTCAATTATCAAAACGGTGCAAATATAGCTCCTCCTGTAACGGACATGTGGTTTCCCGTTAGTGTACGACACCGTTAAGTCGGAGTAAATATGGAATTTAGTTTCTTTTTCCCTCCCTCGATTCAAAGTACTAGCGATGGACAGCGGTGGGGAACCACAGGTCCGTTACGGGAGGGGCTATATGTGCACCATTTTGATAATTGAGGGGCAACATTTACACCACTCATAATTCAGGAGTGACATTGATAATTGGCATATTATAGAGGGGCATTTTTTACAATTTTCCCATTAATCAATACTAAAACAATTTAACAACCATTCAACTAATCAAGTCAAGAAACATATATAGTATGAGATATAAGGACTACCAAGCATGTAATTCAACTAGCACATAATCAATTAATTATATAAGCAATTTTTTTTTTATTTTTTATTTTTGTGAGGATTATATGAGCAATTATGTATACAAATATACCAAGTTATTATTATTATTTTTTTTTTGAAAACATATATCAAGTTATTTAACACTCAAGGATGGTGTTTTATTTTTGCTTCCACAATTTCTCCAATTTTACTTTATCCTAAATGAAAGTAAATATGGAGTATATAGATTCCACAACTATGAATTTTATGATTTAAAAAAATAAAATTACGTACCATTATTTTCAAAAAATTATTTCAATATAACTATAGTTTTAATATTTAATACTAAAATTGGACATTTATTTTTACGCATTCCCAATAAAAAGATTAGTTACGACGAGGATATATAATTGGTTATAATAAATAGAAGTTTTATTTTCTAGTTTAAAAATACAAATAAACTTTATTAAATAATTTAAGAGTTTTTTCTACATTTTCTATTATTTTTAGTATTTGGATTATCTCCATGTATAGTCATCCCTATTGACAAATGACAAGTAATGGATGATACATAAAAAGGTGGTTGGGGTCTATATCTTATTATAAGCATTAAATGTAATGTTTTTAATTTTTTAAATTAATAGGTAATAGGTAACTAGGTAATCATCATGTTTTTTTTTTTTTCAAAAAAAAAATGTAATAATCATGATAGGTAGGTCTATAAATGGTAATTGTGAAAAATAGGTAAGCAATTAATAGTATGATAAGATAAACAATGGCGTGGTTTAAGGTAATGAATCACGGTCTATAAATGGTAATTGTGAAAAATAAATATGACTATTGGTAACTAATTAATAATATGATTATATAAACAATGGGTTTTTTTTTTTATTTTTTATTTTTTTTATTTTTAAGTTAAATATTGTTGGTTTAAGGGCAAATTTTACTATGGATTATATTATGGTTTATGTAGTAGTGTGGACTATGGTATGAACTCTTCTTTAGTTTAATTTTTTTTTTTTTTTACAAACACTAGTTCCAATATAGTAATGTTGCAATATCATTTTAATTACATTTTATGTATATGCTATCCAGTTTCATTTTATACGTACAATAAATTATCATTTTAATTTCAAAACACGTTCATTTGACAATATACGTATATGTATGAACTTTACCATTCAGTTTCATTTTATTATACATGCAATAAGTCCATTATATCAACACTAAAACATCATTTTAATTCCATTACATGTTTATTTTTCCGTATAAGCTCTATTATTCAACTTCATTTTATATACACAATAAGTTAATTATAACAATATTAAAACAATATTTTAATTCTACTATAACTTTATTTGACAATATACATATTAATCACCATGGTCTATATAATTTTCTAGATTATGATGATACGCCATAAATGTGTATATTATTAAATGATGTGTGGATGGATGTGTATATTATTAAATGGTGTGTGGACCATGGCTCACCGTATAACAATTGGTGGTTTAAGGTAATGGGCCATGGTCTATAAATGGTAATTTTTTTAAGGGCAAATTAGTCTCTGGACTCAGATCCACCTTGTAAGGTAGACCCACGTTCAAAATACACAATTTACATATTAAACACTCACAAGTTTTTAAAGGTAATTAAATTGTATCTGAATATTTAGTATATATAAATTGTGAATATTCAATATGCAAATTGTGTATTTTGGACCTAGGTTGACCTTATAAATTCATAGTATAACAATTGAGTACTAAGTAGGAAGGCCAAGAGTCAGTGGGTGTGCGGACATATTATGAGCACATGACAAATTAGCATCATGCACACACTTCAATACACAATGACACACTAGCATACATGTAAACATCAGATTTCAAATTCAGCCTCTATTAATTAATAAACATATGCACATGACATTCAAATTATGGCGAACGACTACATCCGGACATTCACACCACATATAATATAGTTGTCCTCAATTTAATACACTTGAATATATATATATATATATATATATATATATATATATATATATAGACCCTCTCGTGTGGCGATTTTCAGTATACACCAATAGTTAAGTAAATATACACCATCAACGTTAGGAAATGCACTACAAAAACACAAACAAATTAGGTACGCATCACCAAAAACACACCATTAGGTACGACTAAAAGCAACACACAGTGTTCGGAAATACACCATTAGTGATAGGGAGTTATATGGTGTATTTTTTTGGGCGTGTTGTGTATTTTTTGGTGTATTTTTGCATTTCATTGTTATGTACGTGTTTCTCTTACACTATTGGTGCATATTGTTAACATTGTTGGTGTATTATGAAAATCGCCATACGACCGCACGGGAGGGTTCGCCGCATTTGAACTTTATATATATAAAATTCAATTCCCGTGCAATTGGGTATGTCCCGTGCGGTTGTGCAGTTAAATATTTGCCATTGATCTTGCCTAAATCAACGTCTAGGATTAACAATTATTAAAAAAAAAAAAACGATGGCAATTTGGTCTTTTTGCATTTAGGTCAAATTTAAGGTGCGTGGTTTTGGTACTGTGTGGCTTAAGATGCGTGAATTGGTGAAAACTTAAGTGCGTTGATTTAAAGTTTTAGGTGCGTAGTTTTCTTTCTTAATTAAGGTGTGTGGTTTGTGTGTTTAAGGTGCGTCAATTGCATGTTTACGGTTCTCACATGAAGTACTGTTAGTGAACAAATGAGACCACCTCCCCGTGAGACTGTGGGAACATGTACATGAATACATACAAGCTAAAATTCCAGCCACACAACACACAATCTATCATGGAGTAATTTTTATGCATTCATATAGTAGTTTTTCTGCATTCATGTTGATCCACAAGTTCTCCTTATGGCTCAAATGTTGTGAATAACTCCAATTGGTTTTGTTCTTCTATTCAGAAAATATGACTTATAGTGTATAAATTTGTGGAGAATATAATATTGTAGTTGAAATTTAAATGGTTTGGCAATTGGCATTGCATGGCATAACAAATTAAAAGCAGGGAATTACTCCATTGCTCGAACATAGTGAACAGACTCTGAAAATGATGAGATAGATTACAATAAGATAAGCCAACATAAAAACCAAGCTACAAAGACAAATTAAAGCAGGAAACTAAATGACCAATTAATCTGGAAACCATAAAAGACACAAATGAAAGACAACAAAAAGACCAACAATCTGCTGCAACTAATTTAATGCAATTAATTAAGAAGAGGTACGAATCGTTTCCTCCTCATCATCAGCACCCGGTGTCACATTCAAATTGAAACTTGGAACACGAGATGCAGCAGAAATCATCTCCTCGTCATCATCTGCAGTAGGTGCGACGTTCAAGTTGAAGCCTCGAACCAGATTAGCAGAAACCAGAATCTGATTCGGGCTGCCTGCAGTGACATTCAGATCAAACTCATTTGCAAATGATGGAATACAAACCATTTGCTCATTTGCAGACACTTGGAATTGTTGTTTCTTTGCCTTCAATTTTGTGCAACAATCATCAAACCAGGCATAAGCAGCCTTTACGTGCTCCAAGTTGGAAGGATCAAAATGAGGGCCTAACAGCAAGGACACATCTTGGCACTCCAAAATTTGTTTCAACTTGTCAACTGGATCTCCATTCAGAAGATCCAATTGGTGGTCATCATTCTGAGCCATCGCGATGCCTGCATTGGATCGCCTTGCCCGATATTCGTTTATTATTGCGTGAACACAACAAGTGCCAAATGCATGCATATATCCCTTGGATGAGATGAGAAATATGCCTATAGTGGCACCAGTTGAAGCTGCAACCCTTTTGGCCTTTTCAAAGAGGGTTCTTTTCCTCTTCGAGAACGTTACAGCACGGGCATTGTCACACTCAATCAGTTTCATTTCTATCTTTTGTCTACCCTTATTTTTCCTCTCGGGCTCCCCCTCCATATCCAGGGAAAACTCAAAAGAACAAAGGAAACAGCAGCCTTTTAGTTCTCTCTGAAAGGAAAGGAAAACTGTTCTATTGAGTACGATTAAAAGGTGAGAATGGGAGGGGTTTTATAGGTGGGATGTGGGCATTATATTCCATTTCATCTGCATTTATTGGTACTGTACAAATTCTAACAATAATTACACTATTTGATTTTGCTCATAAATACATTTTTATTAATATTTAATTTTTTTACTTTATACAATTAACTTATGTGGATTTGCCTAGTGGAAATATAGCTGTTTTATTCTTTTTTTTTTTAAAAATAAAAAATAAAAAATTGACAGGACTATTTTACGCCCTTGATTTTTAGAGAGGTGGGAATAATTTTAGTCACTGATCTGACAATGACGATTAATTCACCATTTGTTTCGTTGCATGTAGAAAAGGGGTTCTATGTGGCAGGGCCGGTCCAATCATTTTCTAGGCCCGGGGCAGGACAAAAAAATGGGCCCCGGTTAATATATATTTCATGCCTAAGATTTAATTTAAATAAGAAAAAAATTACTAATATCAATAACTTTAAATAAGATTAACAAGTTTTTAACAATTTTACAGCGACAATAATAATCATGAAAAAAATTCTAGGTGCTTTCCTTAATGTAAAATAATAAATAATCGTATAAGTGCCTTCATAAATAAATAACTATTATAGTTTATAAAAATGAATAAATAATTTAAAATCGAGTCAACTTATAAACAATAACATTGTTATCATAATAAATAATAAATTAATTATTATTAAAAATTTATAAAACAATAATTACAAACATATGTGAAGCTAAAAATATTTTTTTGACTAGGAGAAAGAAATTAAAATATTTCAAAACGCAATAAAAAAATTCAAAAAGATATGAAACATAATTATCTAGATAAAATAGTTTGAATATAAAGCATATTATAAATCACACATCTTCTATATTTATATGATTTTTATAAATACTTTTTCTTTTAACTAGATAAATTTCAAACTTTTTTACAATTATTTGAATACAATGACACATGATAGAAACTTCTATATTACATTGATTAGATATTCATAAAAATGTACGGAGTAAATTATCTTTTAATTTTTTTCATAATTCAATCTAAAAATATATCATATAACCCCCTCTGTCCTATTTTTATGTGTCTTGTTTGGTTAACATGAGTTGATTGAAGTTTTTTTAATTCAATTTTTCATAATATGTTTAGTATAAGTATATAAAAATTTATAAATTTAGAAACTGCATTAAAATTTTAATATAAAAATTTATATATTTAATATAATTTTTTTTTCATATTATGTTTAGTATAAATTTATGAAAATTTATATATTTAAAAACTACATTAAAAATACTACTCCATATTAAACACAAAAAATCATTAAAAATAATTTTTTAAAAGATACATTATAATATAAGCGAAGAAGTAAAGTTGAGGAATTCTAAAATGTAAATGGAAGGATTGGATCACCAGCCTTTGATTGAAGGAGGTTGAAATTTAAATATCTTACCAGCTAAGCTAATTCACCTCAGTATAAAATATATATATATAAATTACTTATACTCAATACATATATACTATGTATAAGAGATAAGATGGGGCCCTCCCCAACCATGGGCCCTGGGCAAGGGCCCAGCCTGCCCTTGCCCCAGGGCCGGCCCTGCTATGTGGGTGTACCCTTGCTGTAGACTAAATTTCATCCTACAATTTATCTACCTTAAAGTAACATTTTTAGACCTTCGTAGAAAGATCACTTCAATCCATAAAAAAAATTGAAATCTTTAATTCTAAAGGCCGGGTTAATTTTACATTTAAGCATTAATCTTTTCCATACATATCCCCTTACTAGACATATACCACTTTTAGGTCAAGGAGTACGTACTCATCTCAAATTTGTCTAGTGTTAACTAGTTAAAGGTATCAAGATATGTGATCCCTAAATGATATGGTTGATCCGAGTAAGGAGATACATAGGAGGGTTGATCCCAATTCCCAAATTTAAAAGTGAAAATTAGTTATTTTCATTAATAACTAGTGAATTGGTTAATCCCACTTTAGGGATGGCAATGTGCTCCGTCCCAGTAGGGGATGGGGACGGGGAAAAATTTCAGGGGACGGGAGCGAGGAATTTTTTAAAATCTCCGCCGTGGACAGGGACGGGAACGGGGATACCCCTCCCCGGCCAGCCTCATACCCGAAAATTAAAAAATATATATTATATATTCTATTAGGAATTAGATTATTAGTTATTTAGTTTTTTGAATGCTACTAGCTCTATTACATTGTAGTATCTGTTCATATACTTTCTCAACCTACTGAAACACAAAAAGCTAATAACGCCTCCATTGAGGCTTGAACTCACAACCTTCCTAATGGAAGTCCAACCCGGGTACCATTGGACCACATAGTCCTGGTTATTATTAGTTATTTAGTTAATTAGTTTTTTTTTTTTAATAAATGAGAGAGTTTTATTGACGGCGAATAGCGCGGTGGGAGGCAAAGCCTCTGAGATAATACAAAAGAGCTGTTTTGGCCTTTTCAGGCAAAGTACAAGAATCAACAAGGATCATCGAATGAGAGGAAGCAAGGCCAGATTCAGCAAGCGCGTCCGCAACCCTGTTAGCTTCCCCGTAGATAATTAGTCTTATTAGATTTTAAAATTAAAATTTAAAACAGAGTAAGTACATACTATTCAATTATTCAAACAATATGTATATATTGGATGAATTAAAAATTTGGAATATATTGAATATTGATTACCTTGCATGCACTGTGAATATTGATCGAATGTGTATATATACGATTAATTAGATTATTAGAATATATTAACTATGGATTTCAATTTTTTTGTTTTTATTTTATAACTATATTGCTTTCACACATTGACTATGGGTAAATTCCCCGCGGGGACGGGGATAGAAAATTTTTTCAATTTTCCGCCGGGGATAGGGACGGGGCTAGGGTCGCGGAGACGGGGACGGGGAGTATACTCCCCGTTGCCATCCCTATCCCACCCTAAGTCAAAAAGGAATATACATATCTAATACAAATATAGCATGTCAAGAGAGTGGTTAATAAGGAGTATTAGTTGTAGGAGTTTCTAATATAACACGGTCCAATGACTAAATTAACCTAGTAAAATAAGGGTTTCAAAATGTCATGTTAGGAACATACATAATCTATTGTATGGACCTGAAAACGTACAACTGCAAGAAAAACTCAGGACAAGATATACCATTTAAATTATTGTAAGGGATTGAGTTTATGCCAAGGGTAGAACTAGAGAACAAATTAAAAGTGACATTTTCTCATTTTAAATTATGAGAATGTTATTCTTAAGTCAAATAGTATTTATTTTATTTTATTTTATTATTATTTTTTTTTGTGTGTGTGTGTAGTTTTAGATTATCATGTAAAAAATATCTAAACATAAAATGATATTATTCAAATTCAAGCACGCATGGGCAGCTCAGTTGGTCACATGTGGAAAGTTTGAGAAGAATAATACTTCCTCTGTCCCATTTTATCTGTCATACTTACTATTTATTGGTCAAATCAACTCTTTCTTTTTTTGTTTATTTTCTTTAGTATTTTTTACTTATTTTTAAATTTGATTTTTTGTGTTTAATAGTATTTTTAGTGTAGTTTCTAAATATATAAATTTTGTATACTAATGCTAAACTTAATATTATGAAAAATTAAATTAAAAATAACTTCCGTCAAGCCAGGTTGATATACCATGAAATAGCATTGTATTTGTGATCATTTATGCTTGCTTTTGACTCAAATGTTAGTTAAATAATGGTGCAACAATGCAAATTTGGTGTATCTTGATTAAAGGAGGAAAAAATTGAGTAATGGTGTAAGCAAGTATGAAATGACGCTAATCTTGGGAGAAAATGAGGCTTAAAAGCACAAGGGAAGCACCTCGAAGGCACACCGGGGAATGAAGGAGCAAAATGACAGCGTGAAGTCCATTTGGAGGGACTCATGCTGACATTCACACCGTGAGTGCCAGCATGCATGAATCCGTGACTGAGTTTCTGATCAGGAGACTCATGCTGACAGTCACACTGTGAGTGTCAGCATGAGTCTCAATGATCAGAATCTGATCAGTGAGACTCACGGTGGGACTCACACCGTGAATCCCACCATGACTTTTCGTACAGTTCACTACAGTTTGGCGTGAACTTCAATATATATATATATATATATATATATATATATATATATATATATATATATATATATATGTGTGTGTGTGTGTGTGTGTATGTGTGTGTGTGTGTGTGTTTTAGTAGTTATTTTAGAGTTAGTTTTTCATTCTAAGAATTCTTCCTCTAAAAATTTCTCTCCACCCACACTATATAGAACAAAAACACATTGTATTCCATCATTTTTGGAAGATTTAAAGGAAGATTACTCTATGTAATTGCAACTTTCAACTTCTATTTCAGATTTACATTCAATAAAGTAAGGTTTTCTATTTCTTACCCTTGCACTTTACAAATTACTTTTGAAGTTGATTTCATTGTGCATTATTTAAATTGCTTTCAGTTTACCAATGCCATTATGAGTAGTTAAACTCATTAGGGATTTAGATTGAATTGTTTTGTATGAATGCCAATATGAATTGAATTGAAAAACATAGGCATCGCAATATCTTTAGAATGAATTTGATTGTGAATTTGGTGAATTGTTTTGACTCCTGTACGGTTAGGGCCCAACTTTACATGATGATTTTAGATTTGGTTTTTCACCTATGAGAGTAGGGATTCACAATAGCCAAACTTATCACATTTCTAACTCACTCTTGAGAAAGGGGAGTTGTAAGGGAAATAGCACACAAGATATTTGTTTAATTGACTCACCTAGTCTAGTTGCCATAAGAATGGGATTAGAACTTAGGTGATAGACCAATCACCATGAGAATGGCATTGTCACTTGTTAAACTCCCTCACTTTCATTATTG